TCTGAAGGCATTCACCTTCAGCGAGCGCGATGCCGATCACACAACGTGGTTCGAAGTCGACCCTCTATCGATGGCTGCGCCATCGCCGCACACGCGTCGAATAAAAAGCAAGGGACAAGTCCTTACTTACTAATAACTCCTCTATCACTTTTCATTGCTGAAAATCCTGACTCCGCCATTGGAAACACCCATACACTCTTACAAGTAATTTATCTTCTTGGCATTTTTTTATCGTTCTGCAACAAACGCTAATGCTTATCTGCACAAAGTAACCTCAGTAAATCATGTAATAAAGAGTCAACTGCAGTTGAGTGCTGCTTTTCTTATCTCTGATCATCTTATCCGCAACACCTGTTGTTTCTAAGGGCCTGCCAATCCGCAAATAACAAATACCATCTTTACCACAGTTTACAAAACCCCAAGAAAGTACAAATAAGATGGAAAGAAAAGCAAACTCTTCATCCTGCCTGTGATGTTGTGGATTGCAATAAAGTGAAGCTTTCCTGACACACAAGGGTCCCCATGTTTTAGTTGTTATAACATGTTGCATCACAAACAAGCTCTCATGTACAGGGTTTTATTCACCTTATCTCAACCACAGACTTGCAGGAGAGATTAGGCAGGTGTTACACACGCCCTGTGGTCCACGATATCAAGAAGACCGGCGTTCCTGGGTATAGTGTGTATAGTGTGTATAGTGCGTCGTGCAGTCGTACGCACGAACCTCAACTTGTGTGTTGTCCGTTTGTGGAGCTGTTCTGCGCACAACATGCACGTGTATAGATTTGTGCTTCGTGAAACTCACATGGCCATGCACGCTGGTGTGACATTTAACGTTTGTGCAGAGACCATGATGCAATTGCCTGAGTGTGCCTGCATGTCAATAAGCTTGTTTTATTTATCCAGCAGAGCCTCACAGTTTCAAGACTGTTTTTCAATAGGATGTCCATTTTAGGTGCTTTGCGTGTGGGAGAAAACTGTAGCACCCAGAGAAAACATACACACAGAGAGGGCATAACACTCAGGTCTGCACAGACAGGTTCACTACCTACTTTATTTACTGCCATATCTTGGTCACCTTGCAGCCCAGCATGTATGGGATTTTCACAACTCTGCTCAATCCACCATATCCTTTCTCCAAAGTGCTTGAACCACAGGCGTGTGTGCTCCAAGTTGTTGGTCTCACACTCCGACCATGTTTGTTCATAATCGCTTGTTTATATCGTACCCCCCATGAAGTACATTCCTCGTGGCACAAGATGCACACAGCGCTGGCCAGCAAGTGGGCATTAGTCAGCCAGTAGTGGGTCATGTTGCTATCTGGCTTCCCAATTCACTAATTTGCGATTCATTCATCAAATTTGGCCAATTACACCGGCACACATGAACTAGTTTTTTTTTCCTTCCAAATAACATCACGGGATCTTAAATGTTTAAAGTGAAGCAGATGGCGCTTGTTTTAAAATGAGGCTACTCCATCATTATTAACCAGGGCGACTGCTGGGCTTGAACCACGAACGCCTCCCAACAAGCTGCAAACGCGCTGCTGCTGCTACTCGGCCGTGTCACCCGTTCCACAGGAACTATCGAGGAGAAGATTTACCAGCGCCAGGTGAGCAAGCAGGGCCTGTCCGGCAGCGTGGTGGATGCGGCGTCGTCGGCGCGCTCGGAGCACATCCGCTTCTCGCTGGAGGAACTGCGCAACCTGTTCACGCTGCACGAGGGGACTTGCTGCTTCACGCATGACCTCCTGGGCTGCCCTTGTCAAGGAGATGGCGGAATCTTGTCTGGTGAGGACTCCAGCACGGGGCTCAGTGGGATCAATATCAGCCAGGTCTTTATGGATCTTTGGGGTGCCACGGTGGCGAGATGTTAATTACCTAGCCTGGTATACAGGAGGTTGTGGGTTTGATCCCAACCTTGACGCCTGCTGTATATTTTCAGTTTGCAGATTCTCACCGTGGTCACGTGGATTTGTCTCCGTGTCCTCCGGTCTTTCCCTCCACATGTAGAGTATTAGGCTGCTATAAAATGTCCACATAAGCCACTTCGTTGAGCTATCATTTGTGGCCAGGTTGTTTCTGAAAAAGAGCTATATAGCTCAGTGGGCCTTACCTGATAAAAAAATATATTTCTGCACCCAGAACTCCACGTCCAGGATACCTCTCGCTATGGCTGTGGCTCCTCTTAGTCACGTACCGCCTACTCAATTTTACGGGCAACCTGGAAAATATTCAATGAAAAATTAAGCCCTGGATAAAACCTAAAAAACGCTTAGAGCGTTTGGATTCTCAGGCATGATTGTCTTGGTATCGAGATCCAGTATTGTACATGTTGCGTTGATTGATTTGGTTTGCATTAACCTTCCGACATAATACATAATAATTACTTCGGCTATCATTAAGAATTGTCAGTAATTATAAAGAATGTGTTTAACTGTTCATGCCTAAAGGATTTACCTGGAATGTCATTGAAGTCCTAATTGGATGCGTGTATGTTGCCAACGTATCCTTGATGATAAAAAAAGAAAAACTTAAAATGTTAAAATGCATCGTCGGTTAATGAGAGTGGTCAAAAAATCCCTATGTTAATTTTTTTATTCCTTGATTTTCTTGCAAACAGGAGCAAATAAAGACAGCCTGGTGGAGCGTACATGTCAGCTGGGCCGGGCGAGAAACTCTTCTTCGTCGGCTCAGCGCAGCACCAAGGCTTTATCCATGGCCGAGCTGATGGAGTGGCATCATTTATCTTCTACTGGACTAAGTTCACTGCCCGACCCAGACCTGTACCAGGCGGCAGATGACATTACGTTTGTCATGCACAATGAAACCAAGCTTTGCTCGGAAACCACAGCGCTCACTGACAGTGTACCATGAACGGTCCACCAACCCCTCTTTGTGGCACTTTAACACATTTGCCTTTATACAAACACTTGCCTATTTAATGTTACAGTGGTTGGGAACTTAATTGTTGAATTGAATGTGTGTATATATAAGATACATTGCCAAAGCCTCTCGCATTTGAATAGCTTATATCCTTGATATACACGGTGTCCGTAAAAGGTATCGTCCATTATTTAAGAATTGTAATCAGACAGCAGTTTGTTTGTGGTCGAATGTTGGAGTTTGGCAAAAGGTAAAGTGCAGAACACCTGGGACTCTGAAATCCCAATACGATGTGCGTTGTCAATGCCATGGCTGACGTGGGTAGGTTCGAGGCCTGAAACTCGATCCAATTAAAGCTTCTTTACCACTAGGTGTGTAGTTTTATTGACCTAGCTTAAACTGCTGTGTAATTAACAATGGACAATACCATTATTGACACCCTTTATTTTTTTAACAGTTCATGAAACGAAATAAATTGGACATTGTAAACTTGGTCAATGCAGACACGTCTTGCGTTGCTATCATCCACTACAGTCACAACATGCTCAGGATTCAATTGTGGGTAAAGGCTCTTGAGGTCTATTCCACCCCCTGCCCTTTAGATTGCTCTGTGTAACAGATTAAGATGTCTTAAATGGTCAATCCATTTTTAAACAAGATTTGTGTTGCTTTAAAAAAAATTAGATCATGTTCTTGTGAGTGCGTGTTAACTCAATAAAACAGTGCGACATGTTTTTAAATATACTTTAAGGGTAGATAGATAGACATTTGAGGTTTTAAAATATCAGCATGGTATTTATTTTCAATGCCAATTCTTAAGTGTTTTTGTTTGATTTGTGGTTTCTTTTTTCTTTTATTATGCTTCATTGTTTGGCAAGGACATGCATTTTTCCTTAATTGTTTGTACACGTTACTGACATTTACAATTGTGGTTATAGTTTATTTAAAGCCATGAATTCTCCAGGACACTTTCTATTTAAACAGCATCTAAATGCAGCCACATCTTAAAGATGCTCTTCAGACACAGCGGGCATATTTATTCGTGGGGGGATGTAGCGAACTGATGTTGTTTGGCAGAGGCAAAGAAGGTCTTGAGTCTGGACAATAACGGGTAGGGTGTAGACAGCACGGACATTTGGGGGAATGGCGTTCCAGACGTTGGAGGCAGTAGTGGAGAACGAGAGACCTTCCACTGAGTGACGCGGGAGCCATTTCTTTAACAATAGCAGCGGTGGCAGCTTAGAGTACGGTCCAGTTAAAGGTGTGTCGAAACACATTGTCCTGCGGAGGGAGCTGGTAGGAACGTTGGGTTGCTCGGTCAATGGCCAGGGTCAACGGCGGCGTGGTGTATTCCGCAAATATGGCCGACTGTGAGGGCGGGTACAAGCCGGCGTGAGTCGGTTAAACGTTGAGTTTTATAAGGGCACCACGGGGTGACCAGCCCCTCCCCACCCTCCCTTCACGACGGACGGATGGACACAATAATCCCCTGTGAGCTGTTGTAACCAGTATAACAATGTTCTGTTTTTACTTGAGGTACATTCGCAAACAAATCGTTGGGGAAAGAGTGCGGTCATTCATGAAATTAAAAGGTAACTGGGGAGTTATTTGGATCAATAAATGGAGTTAATATTTTGGGAGCGATTCATGTCCTGGCAAAAAAGTTGCTGCCAAAATGTGGAGGGGGAAATGGATGCCTCGTCACCAATTTCTGCCGATTTGGATGAAAAACTGCAACGTTTTAGCTAATAAGTCATTCTCAAATGAAATGTGTGAGCATTTGTATTTGCAATGTATCGCTTGAATGTGTTTTTAAAAGTAATTTTGTTTTGTTTTGAAATAAAAGTACCTTACATACATCGTCAGCGTCGGGTGGGCGTATTTTGCATCAGAATTTTACGTGAGGCCAGCTGATAGTTCATGTTGGAACCATTGAAATGCTGCTGTTGTTTGAATCCGGGTTTCATCCGCCTACGGAGAGTGAATGCTCTCCGTCCTTTAAATTGGTCTGTAATAAGGTAGGCAACTGATAAGCGGTTGACAGGTATGCAATGGGCACCCACGTGTCGCGACAAGTCACGTGGGTGAGTGTGAGAGCCGCCCTCGGGTCACGTGGCTACGGCGCCCGCCGTCTCCACGGCAACGCGGCCTAGCAGCAGCAGCAGCGGGAGGCGGCAAGAGGTAGGGAGCTGGTTGTTTTCACGGCTTCATCGCTCTCTCGTTCTCGTTCTCTCTCGTTCTCTCTCTTGGTCTCACACGCGACGTCGCCAACACGTTCATCGCGAACCAAACACAGGTTCCTCCTCCCCCATACCCCTCCTCATCGCTCTCTCTCTGCCGAGTCGCGTACGCCGGTGGCTCTGCCTCGACTAGCCAGTGGCGTTATCGTTGTGGGCAAATGAAAGCGAGTGCAACGATTACAATTATTACAACAATTTAAATGATCACAAAGATTAAAATGATCCATTATTAGTTGCGCGGTGTTCTAAGCAATTTACAGATAGCTCGGTGGCTCGTTTTGTTCGTGGTACAGCGGTGGGCACTGCTTCGAGAAGGCGATGAAACCTGTGGGTAGAATTCTGGACGACTTCTAACTTCAGTGGCTGAATGATGTCGGAGTCGACCCCTGGCACCTTCACCAGTTCACCTCCACCCGTGTGCACTGATCACCGGCGTGGGGAAGTATGGCCCAACAGCCCCGACGAGCGGCTCGGCGTGGGGGAGAGGCCTTCATCCAGCAGTGGAGTGGCCACGAGGGTTAATGTCGCAGCTATTGACGGGCTGAGTGTTGCCGTGGGCTGGCACTGGTTTATTGTTTTATTGGTTTTATTGTTTTTGTTGTCTTCCCCGTGCTTTATATTTAGTGACTTGCTTATCTTCTTTTCTCTATTTTGCACTCATTTTTTTATTACTCTTTGGTTCTTTCGGTAAAGTCACGTCGGTGAAAATAACAAACTAAATTAAATCACGACGTTTCGGGCGCAACACAAGCGTCCGTCATCAGCAAAAACTATCGCTGAAGTATACAAACGTCGTGATTTAATTTAGTTATTTTTATTATTTTCACCTACGTGACTTTACCGAAATAACCAAAGAGTATGGATCCTTGCAGTCACGAAAACTTCAAATCCTTTTTTTATTGTTTGCTGCTGTAACTCGCTGACCCGCCCCCCACTGGACTTCTGTGAAAAAGAGCTTCATAGCTCATCGGATTCCTCCTCCAGCAGTCTAAACAAAGATGCTGATTCTGAAACGAGCACTGATTTAAATGGTCAACCCATCCCCAAAAACACGACGGATTTTCTCTTGTAGTTGTGACCCAATCTCGAGGGGGTGGGTGACAGCAGCACGCCCGGCCGCCTTTGTCTCCCCAGTGGCGATGTTCACACACCGCAGCAGTTACTCGTTTGAGGCTGAGTCGACCTAGGGGAGGCCCAGGAGCGGTTGAAATAATCGTCACCGGTGGTGGCCGTGAGCGGGAATGGACGTCACAGCTCACTTGCTGTGCAAAAAATAACTGCATTATTGACCTCCCCCCCCCCCCACAAAAATAAAAAATAAAGTGCATTTTAAAAATGTTTGCATGGTGTACAGTCTGGAAAGTACCCACATGGCAAATTTCCAGTTTGTTGCATGTCGGGAAGTACGCTAAACATTTTTAACAGACACATATAATCACAACTTTGCCTTTAATATATTTGGAGATAAAAATCTGAAGACTTCGAATTGTTATTGGGGTTTTTGTTGTTGTTGTGTGACAGCGGTTTGGTTATTTATTTGAGTCTATTGTGGGTTCGGGCCTTTGGGCTGCGTTCCCCTCCGCTGGTGGCCGTGAGTTGGCAAGGCGGTCCATGATTGTGTGACAGGGCTGGCCGCCCGTTCCTTCGAAAGGCTCTCGCGGTGAACGTTCAACGTGGACGTTGAACGCCGTCGAGGGGCGACTCCTGCTCATTGTGACCCTTGCAGAAGTTTAGGCAGCCGAGCGATAGCCAAGGCCCTTCGCTGCGGGTTTATCGCTCTTTTAAATAAAACCACAAGCAACCGGTGGCCAGAATTCTCTCGCGCTCACTCTTAATCTACACACACCACTACCACCAGGCGCTCCGTGGTGAGGAGGGTGGTTTTGCTCGCTACTCTCTCACAAAACACATTCCTGCGGAGGGAGCTGGTAGGAACGTTGGGTTGCTCGGTCAATGGCCAGGGTCAACGGCGGCGTGGTGTATTCCGCAAATATGCCCGACTGTGAGGGCGGGCACAAGCCGGCGTGAGTAGGTTAAACGTTGAGTTTTATAAGGGCACCACGGGGTGACCAGCCCCTCCCCACCCAGACCCACCCCTCCCTTCCCTCACCCAGCCCCACCCAGCCCCACCCCTCCCACCCCCACCCAGCCCCACCCTCCCCACCCAGCCCCTCTCCACCCTCCCTGCACGACGGACGGACACAATAATCCCCTGTGGACTGGTGTAACCAGGAGGTCCCTACCAGTATAATCCCCTCTGCTAAAGGTGACTGTTCAGGCCTGCTATTACCCCCCCATCCTCCTCTCTGGTGGCTGCTTCAGCACCTCCATTCACCCGCCTTGTTTGTAGAACAGCCCACGAGGCTCTCCTCCTCGCTGTCACCCGGTTGAGAATGTCGAAGCAGCCCCGCCACTCGGTTTGCGAGCCATGCAAGGTCGTGATGTCCCTACGCTGTTCTCCCAGCAGCTGTGTCGTCTTGTTCGGAAAATTCAGGCAGTGTCCTTTTAAGGTGGATACACGCCAGAGCGATCAGTTGGGCAACTTACAGAGATCATCGGTTGTCCAGCGGCTTTGGGGGGGGAAGGAGGAAGCGCCTAATTTAACAAAAACGTCGGATAATCACTACATCATCATAGTTTAAAATAGCTTATTTTTTACATTCTTGGATGACATGTTTTTAGGTGGTTTTTTTTCCCCTTTTCAATGTGTTTACTATGTTAAATTGGCATAAATGGACAAAAATAAACACGTATCCTCCTTTAAAAAGTTACTTTACCGTACTTACCACTCCAATTTTGACGACTCTGCATGGGCTTATGTATATACACGTGCAGTATTTTCATTGTTTAAGTTGTATGTAGTGTATAATGTACCGTACATAATATTTAACACTGAAATCAAGCATAGCTGCTTTGTTTTGTCACGCTGCATGGTGCCGATCGACGGACTGGTGGAGAGGTTTTGCCGGATCGGCCCGGGACCGCCGGATCATGTTAGAAGCCGGATCATCTTGCGCCGTATAAACGATCAACTTAATTGCCTGCTTATATGTTGACTTTTCTGGTTGCACAGATGTCCACATATAAACAATTCAGTCGCTTGCAATCAATTGAACGGTCAGGTCCCCCCCCCCTCCACGCCTTTGCACTTGAGCAGCAGCAGCAAGTTCTCTCAAGTCCTGCTTGTGACCCAGTCTGCTGAGCTCTTGTACACAGCTTCCTGCTTGCATAATCTACCAAGCTGCTTGTATATCGACCGAGGGAGTCGCCTTAATTAAATGTAATTAAGGTGCTGCACACTTTGTCCCTCGATTGAATGGATGAGGTAATATCTCAAATTATCCCAGAGCTGGTTTTGAAACCTGGTTTGTCATCCACAAGTCAAAAACAAACACTCATCCGAACATGTATGTGTGGCACTGGTCAGCTGACCGCGCAGCCCACAGAGGCCAGTGGAAAGATGCTTTGTGTCTCGCGCAGATGGACGAGACGGAGAGTGAGCATGGACCAGGGACCGCACATCAGGCGTTCCTCACGATGGAGGAACTCGGCGATAAACTGAAGCTCCTTCGATACGAAGAGACTTTCCTCAAACAACACAACATGAAGCCTCTCTCCAGGCAAGGCACACAGACATGTCAGCATATTTAGTGACGTTGCACATTGTCTTACTCCTTGCTGCCACCCATTATGTCAAGTTTTAATCGGATAGATTTATTAAGTGTCCAACTTGTCATTTTGCTGTATATACCTCCCAATTTTAGTTGTCTCCCTACTGCGCATGTTCTACTATTTTGTGCAGCGTCTTAAATGCGGTTTTATTTAGATGCCGTATAAATCAAAACTGAATTCATCTTCTTGGTTCTTTCGGTAAAGTCACGTAGAAGGGAAGTAATAAAATAATAAAAATAAAACATAATAAAATAATTCTCACGACGTTTCGGCCACAACGCAAGCAGCCGTCCTCAGGTGAAGAACAGGTCTGTCGAGAAGAAAGAGTCTGAATGACAACCCCAGGCTTGGAGCGTCTTTTTAAGCTGGGTTGGAGGGGGGAAGAGCGCCTTGACAAAATAATTTGCATATCAAGAGGAATTTAGCATATTTATAAGCTGGGTTGGAGGTGGAAGAAGAATTGTCTTGCGTTATCAGTAATATTCAAACCGTACGACTGTTGGAGGGAGGAACAAACGGGCATTGCATGGGGTATAGAGGATGGGCGCATGTGGTATAGAACAGTGATTCCCAACTTCAGTCCTCGTAACGCCAAATTGTACACCTTTCCATGATTACCAACAATCCGATGCATGCAGTGTGTGCAGTGGCTTAATTTGGATGAGTAGAAAAGACTGGAAATCACGAAAAGGTGGACTTTGGGTGGTCACGAGGACTGGAGTTGTGAAACATTGGAATGGAACACTTTCGGGGTGCCACTGGTTACTACTTGGTGCATTTCTCTCCAAAAGTATGCAGTGAGCCATTCTCTTACAAGCAGAACAGACACAATAAATTCTCCATTACAATTTCAGTCCTTGGTTTAATTTGTTTTTAATTTTACACGTCAATTATAAGCTGTGCTGTTTTGTCATTTCCCAGGCATTACTTTGCATTGGCCACTAATCCAGGCGAGCAGTTCCATGCATTTGCATCACTAGCCAGCTGGCTGATCAATCAGGCAGGACGGCCCTTCGAAGCGCCACACGAGCACGATGACCCCAACGCCACGCTGGCGCGCATCCTCACAGAGCTGCGGAACACGGTAACCACACGCATGCCTTGGATAACGATGATGGTAACAATAATTAGAAGGCATTTATCGATCCATTGCCGGATGAAGGCCTCCCCGCGCCATGTCATTTCATTTGTGCATGTTAATTATTACATGTCATTACTATACTCTTTGGTTCTTTCGGTAAAGTCACGTAGGTATAAAAATAAAATAAATCACGAAGTTTCGGGCGCAACACAAGCGTCCGTCATCAGGTGGGAAAGCATGGCCTGCTGCTGATGCAGACTGTTTTAAAGGTTTTTCAAACCTTATACCTACGTGACTTTACCGAAAGAACCAAAGAGTATGGATTCCTGCAGTCACGAAAGCTTCAAATCTACATGTCATTAATTGACGCTTAATCATGGGGTTTCAGGGGTAGCATGCACGGTGGTTGCTGCACGACACTACGGCACCGGTGACCTGCGCTTGATTTGCTGGCCACGACTAACTGAACCAGTGCTGGGCCTCGAACCCTTCACCAACCCACGTTGACCAATGTGGTGAATTATGATTTAACAACTCCCATTACTGACACGGGATTATAGAGGCCTTCATCCAACAATGTCTAAATTATGATATTATTTACGCATAAGCACTTAACTGTACTTTCCAACATATTACTGTCACGTTTGAATACCGATAAATAGAAATAAGCAGCACAAAAGGGTTGCATTCACACACATTGTAAAATGGTCACAGTCACCCTTCTGGAATCATTCTCTGACAATATGTGGAAGTTATGGAAACACCAAAAATGTTTGTCTCATGTCATGATTCCCGTGGCAGAATTGCATGTGAACGTACATCATGTATTTATGCTGCGGTGTTCTTGTGTGCGTTTATAGGGAGCTGCGGTGGATTTCCCTCCGTCGCGGCTCAAGACGGGCTGTGGGGAGCTCGTATGCTACACCCTGGATCGGTTGGCAGAGGCCGCACTGACGCACAGCAACTTCGCATGGCAAATGTACTGTGCTTTGCTATGTTACACGCAGCCATATTACCACTGTGCACAAAACCAATCTTAAAATGCACAATTGTATTAAATTCTGTTCCAAGTGGAATCAGCCGCTGTGTAGACCAGAGGTCACTTGAAGGGGCTTCGCAGGTGGCTCTGTGCTATCGACTTCTGTGTGCCCAACTCTGACACAACAACAACTTACACTGCTCGGTGAGAGATCCGAGCTGATTCTGTCCCATGACGTGACGTTGATACGATTCCCATAATTGGGATAAAATTGGGGAAATCTATTTAGTTTCGGCGCGGTCAGCTTCAGCTACTCCGGCTCATCTCTTCATCATATTCCATGTAAACTCACTGCGAAGTGAACATCTCATTAGTGAAGCAACTGTTGTTAGTCGTCCTGTGCTTGGTCAGCTTATTCGAATGCAAAATATGCCTTGATTTAATTTTTGTCCGTGAGTCTCTCTCCTGCAAAAGAGATTTGTTGTTCCGTGGATGATTATCTGGCTACAAGAAAGATTTAATTAAATTGTCGATATTTTCTTGTTCAGGTTTAGGCCAAAACCTATGAAATCGTTCGTAGTTCTATTTATCATAAGAGTGGACCACCTTATTCTTGTCTCACCCCCACAGGCCGCTGTATCCAGAGGAGGTGCAGGAAGATGAGGCGATCGTGATTGATGACTCCGAGCTCACTCTTGATAAAGTGGAAGAAAGCGCCGGGGTGTGTGTGTGTGTATCTTTCCGAATAATTCTGTTCGCCGCACGCCGTGGAGAAGCCCTCAGCCAGCAGGGGATTTGTAAAAGTGCGGTCCATGTTCATGTTAATTGAGTGATGTTAATAATGCCTGTGTACAACAGGGGAATGTCGATGATTATGAAGATGAGGAGGAGGATGAAAACTTGCTCGACTTGGACAAGATTCGGAGCAAGAAACAGGTATGTGTGTGTGCAGCTCTCCTAACAACACTCTGTGCAATGTCGCGTGTTTGCCAGCCTGCATATCTTTTACCAGAATCAGAATTTGTATTTAGACTGTAGGAATCCGATGAGCTCTGAAGATCTTTTTCCCAGATGTCCACTGTGGAAAGTGGTGTACAGATCTATCCTGTGCCTCTCTGAGGGCAGCTGAGCCTTAAGTAGGTATCTGGTGTGATTTGTGCATATCATCACTGGGGAGACAATTCGCAGACAGGTGTTGTTCTGGTCACAACATCCACAAATATGCCCTTCCATGACGTCTGTAATATGCGTGGGGTGGCGCGGTGGCACACACTGTGCCATGAACCCAGTGACCTGAGCTTGATTCCCAGCCATAGCTAACATCATTGGTGAGTGATTTATAAACCAGTCCTGGGCCCCACCCTTCACCAAAACATACTGACCAGCGTGGTGAAGTATGGTCAAACAAACCCCAATGACCATCAATGCAGAAGCCTTCATCGAGCAGTGTATTGACGAAAGGATGTCAACGTGACATATATACATGACGATACATTCCTAAGTAAATACAAAAAATAGCCTTTGATTAATTTAACACGTAGGCTTTTGTGACCAATATTATTCATAATATAGGTTTTTGGGTCAGATCGCGTTATTTATAAATGTGTCGTAACCCTCCATCACCCGACACGGCCAAACAGTAAAAAATGTGTCACGTTTTTCAAAGGACAAAGAAGTGAATTATTTTGTCCTTTGAAAAACGTGACACATTTTTTACTGTTTGGCCATGTCGGGTGGTGGAAGCCTTTGAATAGCAGTTTTCAAACTTTCAAATTACCAATTACAATTGTAAATCAAGTTTGTTGCTGTGTAATGACGTTGGGCGGTTGTGGCGGTTTGGCGACGGACAGGAGACACCTGGGGCCGACGTCCTGGAGTCTCAGACCGATGCAGCAGCGTGGAGCCTGGAGCTGGAGCGCATCCTCCCTCAGCTGCGGGTCACCGTGCGCAGCGACCACAAGGTTTTAACTCCCTCTCAACACGATGAGAAATTCGACGCGCGCGGCGCCTGAATGCGACCGCGTCTCCAGACGCTTCATGTTGGGATAGAAAGGCAGGTGGGAGGGGGGGGGGCAATCGGGGCAGGGAAACACGGGAGAGAGGACAGCCTCGGACGAAGCGACCGGGGCCCACCCTCAAAACCCTTCTGTTTGCGGTTATCCACGCAGCAGCGGCTTTTGTCTAACGCGTCGAACAAATCGCGCGCTTTCAGATGCGCTTCTGCGGCCGTCTGGAACGCTCTTCCAATAGGAAGCCCCTGGAGCTGTACACTTCTAAATCCAAATTGAAAACTCATTTCTTGAGGACTGATTTTTGTGTTTAGTTTGTTGTGCTTCCCCCTGTTGCCAACTTTGGGTGCGAAAGAAGTTCAACATATATACATAACAGCGAGCCAAGGGGTGCACCCGGACCAGCCAGTATTGTATCGACAAGCAACAGGGCAGTGTCAGGGGGTGTCTGGGAGCTTTCACTAAAAATCCCCAGGGATAGCTGGGGCAGCAACCACCAGGGCAGCATCTGGGGGCCAGGGCACAGGCTTTAGACATCCAGGTGGCTTAATGGAGTAAAAAACGTGATTGTTGACTGCGTGTTGAACTTCTTTCGCACCGTACGTAGCCAACCGTGCTCATCGGAGGTGCGGGGGAAAAGCTGCAAACTAAACACAAAAAGCAAGAAATACATTTTTAATCGAGATTTAAACGTGCCTACCTCCAGCGGGTTCCTAATAAGTCCACCGAGCGTTGCTACATATCACCATATATTTTGAATGAACCACGTGTGTTCTGCAGTTACACAATTGGCAGGTCGACTTGGGAACAAGGCTACCCTGAGAGTGATCTATGCCTGATCGTGTCCACCCTTAGGACTGGCGATCTCATATTGAGCAGATGCACCAACATCGTCAGGGAATCGATTCGGCACTTCTGGACAGCAAGGTTTGTTTTGTTTATGTACGCGCTTGCGTCTAGACACACAGGCGTGCGCACACACAACACACACATTCTGAAGTTACACAACCTGACTTGATACTAACATTGTTGTATCTACGAAAACGATCAATGGTGCAGTCAATATACTGATGTGTGTGGGAATTGGTGTGTACAGGCAGTGACCCACTTTTGTATGTTGTGTACTCAACATGTATGGATTTGCAGATGCGTGGAGCAGTGGTGGCAGTGGTCTGTGCACTCCGCTAATAACTCGGAGAGCAGAGTTTGATTCTTGACCACAGTTAACATCAGTGGCAAGTGATGTCTGAACCAGTCCTGAGCATGCACACCCTGATCAACCTGCTGATATGACCAGCATGGTGAAGTAAGGTCAAACAATCCTCATGAATGACATGACATCGAGCAGTGTATTAATAAAGGGCTGTAATTAATATTATTGTTGGCTTAAATGCACGGGTTTTTATGTCCGTGTACATGTGTTGAGGAATAATTGTTGGTACATGTGCTGGTGCGTTTGTAAGTGAATCTGTGCATGTGTGTGTCTCTCTATCGGTAGTGTAGTGGTTAGCGCACTGCGCTATGAACCTGGTGATCCGAGTTCGATTCCCGCTCACGGTCACCACCAGTGACGATTAATTATCTGAACCGGTCCTGGGCCTCCTCCCCTAGGTCGATTCAGCCTCAAATGAGTACCTGGTGCAGTGTGTAAACATCACCACTGGGGAGACAAAGGTGGCTGGGCGTGGTGCTGACCACCGACTACCTCATGTACTGGGCCGGCCTTCATAGGTGCTGCTCGCTAACAGCACTTGCCCCGACAGTATGTTAAGGCTACGCTGGGGATCTTTGTTTTTTGTCTCGACATCTCAGGGTCAGCTGGAGCGACTGCAAGAGGAGATGTCTCGGACTCTGGAGAAAATCTCGAGCCGTGAGAAGTACATGAACGCACAGCTCGAGGGTCTCATCCAGCAGTACCGCACCGTGCAGCAGCAGCTGGCGCAGGCAAGGAAGGCCCCTCCCCCCTCCTCCTCATCAACTTACACCACCAGCCCCGGCACTCATGCCAGCCCCAGTGTTAATGTTCGTACGTCTGTTGGACTTCTTTCGCACCGTACGCAGCCAACCGTGCTAATCGGAGGTGTGAGATGTGCGATGAGTTCACGTTACCCTTCTGGCGGCTAGAGGTGCTTACCATTCATGGCTGTGTCAAGAAGAACGGTGCTGGAATGGATTCGCCACCCTGAATGTTGTCAGTTCAGTGGATCTCCGGGGAGTCGTTCGAAACGTCCCGAAAACCAACTTCTGCTGCTGCTGCCAGTGCCGGGTACTGAGTAATGCGCTCGTCGGGGCGGTGGCGCCCTGCGCAATTGGACCCGGCAAACTTAAGTTTGAATCCTGGCCACGGCTGACATCATTGGAAAGTAATGTCTGAAAAAGTCCTGGGCACTACCCCCTTGACAAACACTGCAGCAGCAGCTGGCGCAGGCAAGGACATCCATCCCCCTAATCAACTTACACTACCAGCCCTGGCACTCATGCCAGACCCAGCGTTCATGTATGTACGTGTGAACTTCTTTCGCACCCTACTTAGCTAAGGTGCAGGGGAAGGACAACAAACTGAACGCAAAATACAGTTCTAAAGAAATTACTTTTTCAATCTAGATTTAAAAGTGCATAGCTCCAATGCTTGTTCCAGATTAACGGTGATGCCAGTCCGAAACAGTTGTTTTCATTCTTACAGAAGGTAATCCAATGCAACATTTAACCAAACGGCGAATGGAAGATACAACTTGGGATTAAGAAGGTTTACGTGTTTACTAAATGTGAAGGTGCACTTGGAGCAACAATGTTAGAACCGGAGGCGGTATGACAGCAGGGCACTCGCATTACGTTGCCGATTAAAATTCGTACGCTCGTTCACCCAGGATAGTCGTCTCACGACTCCTTGTCAGCAGGATCCTGCCAAGTTCTTCGTAGAAGGAGGCGGTGATTGCGAAGAAGAGGCGATGATTGCGATGTGCATTCCAATTGACTGCAAACCTTCCATGCCGAGCGGGAAGCTGAATTTTTTGTTCAGCCTTTAAGGAATCTCAGAACCCAAGTAGAATTAAGCCTGGATGGGGCCACTGCCGTGCATCGAGCGGATGCCGTCGGCTTTTGCGGGGCGACGCTGAGCAGCAAAGGGCAGCAAAGGGCAGCGCAGCAAATCCATTGTTGTACTGCACTGTGCGTCCGCATCTCATGCTCTCTCCGCCTTCACCAACTCGCGCTAACCAGCATGATGAAATACGGCCAGGTAACTCCCGCGACTCGCATGGCGTGGGAAGGCCGCCATACAGCAGCGGGATTGCTGAAAGGGCACGTGGAAATATACATATGAGAGGCGAGAGTGAAACTTGCTGCAAATGACGATGGTTTCACAGTGGCAGTGACACGGTGCTGTTGCTTTCAGGTCAAGGATCAGTACCGGCAGGGCAGTGGAGGGGTGACCGAACGAGCGCAGACGCTTGCCGAGGTTTGCGAGACAAACATTGTCCATTCACCTTTGCTTACGCGAACGCTTACGCGAACACGCACGCTCACGGACACGCACGCACGCTCGCTCGCTCACACGAAAACGCACGCTCAATCACGAAAACGCACGAACACGCACGAACACGCACGAACACGCACGCTCACGGACACGCACGTACGGACACGCACGCTCGCTCGCTCACACGAAAATGCACGCTCATGGATACGCACGCACGCACGCACGGACACGCACGCACGCTCACTCGCTCACAAATGCTAAGGTGTGCGTTGCAATGCTCAGAACTTCCCGCACGCAATTTCTAAATGGATGGCAAGCATCGTAATTGAACCTTTCCGAACCAGAGTCAGCAATTCAGAACGCCTGCTCGTTGATAGCCGTCGCTAACCATCAAATTAACTGAAATACGTTATCAGATTGTCATTTTGCCAAGATGGGTGAGAGGGGTGAAAGAGCGGGGGGGGGGGGAAGTGATTGGGTGGAACCTGTTGAGGGGTGGCTTAGTGACGACATAGTGGAGATGTTTGTGTGAAAGGTGAGAGTTGATATCAAGTGGCATGAGTGGTGTGTATGACGAGTGATCAGCATGGGCAGTGTTAGTAATGTAAGAGTCATGAGTGAGTGGTGCTGGTCTTGTGTTGTCCAGTGGTAAGTTTAATCTATTTATATAAACGATTGAGATTTAGATACAGTATCAGAATAAGCCGAAGAATATTGAATGTTTCGGTGTGCCATTGAAGAACCTCCATTTTGTATTCTATGCTCATTTATACTTTAAACACAACATTAAATAAGTGCGTGTTTTCACAATTTAGATCACAGAAGAGCTCGAAAAGGTGAAACAAGACATGGAGGAAAGAGGAAGCAGCATGACTGATGGAGGTGAGTGTGGATAGTTTATTGCTGCACGCATAGCTGTGTGTACATGTATACATGGTGTTGCATGCATATACGCAACCTCTACTTAAGAAATCGGCCAAGCGGTGGACCATTTCTTCCCCGACATCACCGTCCACCGCCTTGAGCTTCACGATGGCCAGTGCAGTACCACACAGACGCTCGGTTTGTGCTTGACTGTGCACCCGCCTGGTCTTGGACTCACAACTCCCCTCTGCCCACCAGTCAGGGACCTTGTGTGCAGGGCTGGTAACCCCTCCTGGCATGTTGTGAAGGCCCGTAGGGAGCAGACCGATGTGACGTTATCGGGTTAGACCCGCTTCCACCACTACAAATGCAGCGTTTGCGCTGGTGAACATTTACTTACTGTGAACAAGCATGCCGCACATGCGTTGTGAGGTCGTGTGGAATGGAATCCACATATATTGCTGCTCACATCCGAGAGGGCATCCAAGCGTCCTTGGTTTGGATGATTACCTGTTACCCATGAGCCGAAGCTGCTACCCGTAGATGCTCAAGTCGCCCGGAGCAAGACTCTGTCCCAAGTGTGCACGCGATGCATGGGGTTGTCACCATTGCCGATAGGAGAGCACTGTTCCTGCAGAAGCTCCCAGCACGTGGAGCAAAACGTTGGACATGGTGCCAAACAAACCGAACGATGCAGTGCCAACCGTGCACCGAGTAGGCCAAGGTAGCCCCCCCCCCCCTCCCAGCCACGTGAACTGCTCCCCGTAACGCAAAGCGGCGCGTGCGGTTTCTGTTGGGACAGGGCCCCTGGTGCGCATCAAGCAGGCCCTCACCCGCCTCAAGCAGGAGACGGAGCACATGAACGTGCGCGTGGGGGTCGTGGAGCACATGCTGCTGCAGGCGCGCGTCAGTGACAAGCATGACATGACTCGCGATATGCACGCCAACGGCACCTACTAGGGCGACATTCGCATCGCTCCCTGGCGTCACCCTCCTCCTCATCCACCGTTGCCACTCTACTGCATCCAGGACCTTCATTTCTCTCAATGTTTTCTGTATCGCGGTAGACCAGGAGCTGGCACGCGACCTGCAGCCATGGCAAGAGGTATATACTGGGTGCGGTGTGGCGGCTGCCGAAATATTATCTTGGTCAGCGAGCCACAGGCAGACCCCAGCTGAAATGTGAAGCCCCCCCGACGGCATCGCAACCCACGCCCATTAGTCATGAGCAAAGTCGAATGGTCCCGTAACTTGTCAATGTTTACATGTTAAATGGCATGTAGCAGGCGTGCGTTGAACCATCCAAGGAGCTTTGTAAATGCATTGTTCTCTCGGCTACTGTTACTCGAGTTGAAATGTGTTATTTCATTTGAAGAACACTTGTATTGATATGTGTAACCGTGACAATGCCAAGGTTACATATATTAAATATTTTGCCACTGGTAAAGGAGGTCTCATAGCGTAAATTAAACAAGTGATGTGTTGTGTTGACCATTTTCGCTTAAAATCACGGATCAGGAACGATTGCCAGAAAACCGACATCTCTGTTCCACGCAAGAAACATTCTGCTCATGTTCTCACTTTATTTCGCTTCTGTCCACTTCCAAAAATATTCCTTCACAATGTCATTTACATCAAATGGAATGGTGAATATAACATGTTTCAATCTGCAATTGTTAAAACTTGTACAATGTAAACCACAATGGCATGGCAACCTAATACGGGGGCATTTTCAAATCATGTGTGATGTAAATAGGCATAATGACATTTACACAGTTTATTGGACATTTAATTTGTCCACTCCACTTTGCAAGTACTGGTCTTGCCAGAACGGCGTCCGCTTTACTTATTTCAACTCCCAATTCACAACTCGATTGTACGGATTTTATTTTGTTCACACTCGTAAAACGAACACAGAAACGCGAACAATTTTACAAAGTCGGCAGACTTGCGACCAAATTCACTGCAGCAGCTTGTCACGGATGGAGCTGTGGCAGAAGAGCTTCAGCTTCCAGGGCAGCACGCGCACCTGCACGTCCATCGCCTCGTACTCCTCGCTGTCGATGCTGAACCAGCCACCCTGCACCTGGAGGGGGGGCAGACCCGTCCAGCACGTCAAACGCTGGGCAACCGGAAGAGGTCACTAGCTTATCGACGAAAAATTAACCCGTAAAAACAAAGTTTTTCACTATAAATCCTTTCTATGCGTGGCGGCTAGAGTCCTCTCGTCCTCTGGCTTGAGATGGCTGCCACCATTAAGCAATTGGTAATTAAATATAATTTATTTTTTCCTAAAAAGAGTAAAATTTTTGAAAAAAATTTTCACGAAAATTAATTGTCACGCACAACGAGTCTGTGTGCAAAATGTCAGCTCGATTGGATCACGGGAAGTGGGTTAAAAAACGACCGAAAGATTTGCACGGTCGTAAGCAAGCAAGTGAACTTAATATAAAGGATTTTTAAAAAGGCGTTCTCCTTCACATTCGCAACAAACCATCTCATTTACAACGTTACAGTCACACTTGCTGTGGTGTTACGGCGAGCGCACTGGGCGTGCAATCCAGAGGTTGCTTGTGTTAGATTTGAAATTGCTGCAAGTTTCTCAGATCTCCCCGCCTCTGTCCATCTCCCAGCAGTGTAACTGGTCACAACCGCAGCCGATCGGCAGGTGACGCTTGCTGGGGAAAGTGCGAGTATTTCCACCTCCGAGACGATTGGCCAGTTTAGAAGAGTAGGCCAAAGAACTCCCTCTATTCATGGGGCTCTAGAACTCCCTCTATGGAGGCCATTCTGGCAGCAGTGGCATGAGCTATTGCAAGTCTGCACGGCTCTTTCGCTGTACAATACACTTATACTCTGTAGTATAACATCATTCGAAATTACCATTTGCTTCAATAGCACATTGTAGTTTTGTTGAACGAGTTTTTGGTACGCCTATAATGTTAAGTGACATTCTGAAAACACGTCAACTATGCATACATTCCATATGTGTTCACTCCTAAATATTCCATGTTAATAGTTAACGAAGGTTTATTTCTAATATTATTTCTGTTCAAAACATTATGGCTCTGTTTATTTGTGTGAAGACTAAACAACAGAGTGGAAGAGTTTGAAGATAATCTTGCAATTATCTAGGCACTGTAGCCAAGTGGAGCCATCTCATTGAAGAGGTGACTTCTGCTATGTTTGTGGTCTGACTGGCATCTTGTCTATGGCATGCATGATAATAACATTGTCATTAATTAACTACATGCCAACAACGTATCTTTGAAGTGCGTGGTTTCCGGTTTGGGTTGCCCGTTTCTCCTCAAGCGCTCGCGTTGCTGCCGCGGGTGTCTTGAGGAGTTTGATTTAATTAAATCTCTTTTAAGCAGCAATGTGGTCGCACGTATCATGCAACCCTCCCTCACCTGCGGCTTGAGAGAAACCTCTTTGGCCTGTAGCTTCGTGGAGTCCTCGCAGACTGCGTTTTCCTTCTGCATCCTGCGAGGGGAACGAACGCCATCACTGCCGTGTCCTCCGCACGCTCACGACCCAACTCCAGCGGTTTCTCAAACTCAAGTCCTCGCGACGCGCCGCGGGGTTTCGCCTTTTCACGTTTACCAGCCGCAACCTCGCTCACCCTGCACGAATGAAGTCCATCTTTGTGACGGCGGAAGGCATCAGAACGATGTCCACCGCATCTGGCTTCTGTTGGGATGTCAGAACAAAGCAACTTGTTGTTTAAGCGTCACCAAAATACGTACGCTTTAAACGCTCCTAATAGTTGTAATATATTATTTACGTGCTATTGCCCCAAACATCTGCTTTTAGATATTTCTACTTTTAAGGTCACAATGTTATTGTGATGATTGATGATTTTTTTGGTGAATTGTTCTAAAAACAATAGTTGGCAGCCACTGCTGGACGAAGGGCTCTTCACAACGCTCCGCTTGCGACCCGAACCTCCAGTAACCCCCACCACCACCTGACTGACCGGTTGATGTATCATATGATGCTTGGCTTGATTGTGTTTTATTCAACTTTTTTGTTTAAAAGTGACATTATTCGCACATTAACAACAACAAAAATTATCATTCATAAAGCCACCGGGTCATTTGCATGTTGCAATCGTGGAGCAGGAATGCAGACGCTGACCCAGAAACGAGGGAGACGCGGGAGGGGGGGGGGGGGATGTCCACAAACCTTGAGATCGAGCACGGTGTTAAGGCTGCTGATCACCACCTCCATCGAGGAAATCTCCATCTCGGTCGGTGGCGTCTCCTCCACTGGCTTCTCTGCACAATGAGGGCACACGACACAGCCGCCCGTACAGCCGCGGCGTAAACTCGCTCCGTCGCCCAGCAGACCCACACTGGGCGAGCACCCAACGACGCAACAGGATCTTGAGAGCCCCGTCAGGATGTCTAAAACCGCACTGTTCACCGGTTGAATGGTTCTAGAGATTCATCTTCTTGGTTCTTTCGGTAAAGTCACGTAGAAGGGAAGTAATAAAATAATAAAAATAAAACATAATAAAATAATTCTCACGACGTTTCGGCTACAACGCAAGCAGCCGTCTTCAGGTGAAGAATGAGACACTATCAAGCTAGGCGCTTATATATACGCTGAGTTGGAGGTGCAAGAAGAGCGCCTTAACAAAAAGAATGTGCATATGAAGAGGAATTTAGCATATTCATGGGAAATGCGTAGGAGGTGGGCGGGGGGGTTTCAAAGTCATATTATGCCCATGCATTATGCAGGATCAGAAGCACCAAGGGAGGGTGCAGGGAGTAGCATTAACAAAGGAAAGGAATGTTAATAGTATGTAGCTGCAGTTACTAAACAACCACGTAGAAAACTAAAGTATAAACTACATAAAAAACTAAAGTATAAACTGCATAGCACCATCAGTATACTTACTATACTCTACAATAAGCTGAGTTACTCACAGCAAGTAATACATTACAATTCTACGTCGTAAAAATTATATAATATGCTTCCATCTAAACTTTATTCTCTTACATCACACGAGCATACACCGTACTATATACTGCCATAGATAAACCCAACATTAAATTATATACTGTATTGCTATAAACCACCCTATACCTTATACATTTTAATATAACACTATGTATTATTCTACCCACCTTAATGTGTATCACACTGCTATATGTTTACTATACAATTACGATACTATATATTACTTTGTACATTGTATTAAGCATATAAATCATAATCAACGTTTTTGGGTTTAGATCGCGTTATTTATAAATGTGTCATTATCACGGACATAACTAACGTGAATCTGACGAAACGATTCACTGCCTTGGCAATTTGTCGTTTTCACCAAAATCGGACAAAGCGGAACATTTGACAACACGTAAATCCACGCTTCGTCATTATCAACAATGGTCAAATCGCCGCAGGGCGACGGCCTACGCCACAGTCTTGGTGTTAAGTGTGGTCTGGTGAAAAGGTAGGACGTGGGGGGGGGGGGTGGATGCAGAGTTATAACCGCTCACTGTGCTACACGTGAGCAACGCACGGCGTAGTGAATGTTGCGATGTAGCGAGTGTAGCGGCGTGACGAGTGTTGCGGTGTAGCGAGTGTGACGGTGTGGCAAGTGTCGCGGCCTCGCGAGTGTCGCGACTGTGGCGAGTGTAGCGGTGTAGCGAGTGTAGCGAGTGTGGCGGTGTAGCGAGTGTTGCGGTGTGGCGAGTGTGGCGGTGTCCGGGGGTGTGGGGGAGCCCACCTGGCACTTTACTCTCCTGCAGTCGAAGGAATCTGTTGTAGATTCTCCTCCACAGGGAGGCCCGTGGCACTGGGCCGGGGCTTTCCTCCACATACTCGGGCCTCTCCGCTGGCTCTGCGTACGACAGGAGGGCATGGCGGCTCGGAGGCCACTCCTGAAAGGGAAGCGTACAAAGACAAAGATCCCCCGTGTAGCCCCAACAGACGGCCGAGGCAAGTGCCGCTGTCGAGCAGCACCGATGTAAGGCCGGCAGGGTGCACTAGGGGGTGGGGGTTGCCAGCACCACGTCCAATCACTTTTGTCTCTCCCAGTGCAAATGCTTGCACACCACAGCAGGTACCTGTTTAAGGCTGAGTCGACCTAGGACCTCGCACACCAAACACACGTGAATGTACCCGTGGTGAAAGAGCAAGCTTTTTTTTTTATGTAAATTAAGGCTCGTGACAAAACTGCACACTTGAATGCGAATTTTCACAACGTTCTCAATCAGCTGCTTTGACACGGATCGGACGGTTGGACGCTGACGAGTCACAGGGAAGGAAACTGAACAGCGCACCAAGAAGCGTGGAGGAGGTGCAACGCTTGGAATCTCACCGACGCAGAGGAACGCACGGATTGGAGAACGTACGCGGGCTAAAGACACCGAACCGACGTCAACTAAAACTTGGCGCACTTGGCCGGTGGTTGAGACGAATGGCAGTGGCAGCAAGAGGGGGCGGGGGGGGGGGGGCACGCCCGCAACGTACGTCCACCGTCGAGATGAAACCAACTAAACTTTTTTTATTTTACCACGTAGCTCTTATTCAAAAGTAACCTGGCCACAAGTGATAGCTCAATGAAAGTGGCTTATGACGTGGAAATTTACAGCAACCAAATACTCTGAACGCGTGTTGTTGATTCTAAATGCGGAGGGGAAAAACCGGAGCACCCTAGAGAAAAATCCAAGCGACCACGGGGAGAGAGAGAGAACACGCAAACTCCAAATATACAGCAGGCTCCAGGGGGTCGGGATCAAACCGACAACCTCCTGTATCCCAGGCGAGGTAGTTAACATCTCGTCACCGTGGCAAGATGTTCACCACCTCGCGACAAAATCTGCTCGTGTGCAGGAGGCGGACGGATTGTTCCACCGCAAGAACGCGAGGGATTGCGACAGCCTGAAGAAGGCCTCCAGCAATTCTTGTTGCTCTTCTTGTTTGTACCGCTTGCCTCCCCGCGCGTTGTGACTGTGCTCATAACGCCGCGCATAAAACAGCCACAAGCCACACGACGCTAAGGATTGTGACGGAATGAGTCGCTGAGTGACGACCACCGGGTACGTACCTGGAAGGTGCTCAATAAGTAGGAGGCCACCTTCTTCAAGGGGCCAAGGTACCAGTACCTGCACAACAACAACAGGTATGAGCGTACTCCGTTACTAGAAGATCACAGCTGTCAAACCAGACGGTTGTGGGTGCGGTACTGCGAGGGATCTTCTCCGCTAAATCGGAGGTGCGAGGAAGAGACGACAAAATTTCGATTTAAAGCTTTCGTGACTGCAGGGATTCATCTTCTTGGTTCTTTCGGTAAAGTCACGTAGAAGGGAAATAATAAAATAATAAAAATAAAACAGCATAAAATAATTCTCACGACGTTTCGGCCACAACGCAAGCAGCCGTCCTCAGGTGAAGAACAGGTCTGTCGGGAAGACTTCTACGTGACTTTACCAAAAGAACCAAGAAGAAGAGATGACAAACTGAGGATCCTGGGTACCTGGGGGCGCTGGCCTGGGCGTCTCGGTAGTTGCCCCAGCGCAGCTCCGACAGGGCATACACTGGCTTCCCCTCGACGCCCTGCGCACGGAGCAAGGCGCACGCAACGTTGCGTTTCACAAGTCATATTTAAAAATACTTTTAAAAAAACACGCTTTTATTAAATGTACCGTACGAGTAATGGCAGAACTCCACGACTCGGGGAAGTGGCCCCGAGGCTTGCCATAACGTAAGGGGCCGTGGTGATTTACAGCCAACGTGAGTTGAGCGTGGACAGTTAGAGCCAAGGCGAAACATAACATATAAAAAAGATGGTTTAAAAATCTAAATATATATTTTTAATGATAAAATATAGTATTGTCAACAAGTATGACATAAGTATATGAAGTTTGCAGTCGATACCACATTGGGAAGTGGGTTAAAATTGAGTTACAAGATTTGAGGATACGACAACGACAACAACAGACAGAGTGAGTTAAATAAAAGCGTTTAAAAAAAAAACACGGTCACGTGGCGCTTGCCGCCCGGCCACCGATCGGTACTGTGCAGGATCTCGTGGAAATGTTTTTGAGCGACGATCAAAGATCCGTCCCGTTCACAGCGGTCAACCGGACACGGGAGACAACGTTGGTGAGCGCGCGCACCATGTCACGTCTCGATCGACGGAAAGTTGCGCGCCGAGTAAACATTCGGATCACATCCCCCCGCAGGGCCCCGTGCTTTTAATCGGAGAAAAATATAAACCACGGATGCTCGTCGCAAAGGGCCAAACAGCGGTGCGAGCAGTTCAAGTGGACCCTTTGCCTCGTGATAAGACACCAAGAATACAATCGGAACACAAACTGGAGGTTAGGGGGGGGAAATAATTTAAATAGAACAAAAAACAGGC